AATGTATAATCTCAGTTTGACATGAAGAAATATCAGGCTATATAAATGGGACATCAACAGAATAGCTAGCCAGCTACTTCAAAAAGGCATCACAGCCATGGAAAACAAGGAGAGGACAAGCAATGGTCCCACCATGGAGGTGACTAGAAAGAGATGAAAACGTCGGGTGTGGTGGTACATGCTTTCAGTCCCAGCACTCAGGAGGCAGAGGTAGGCAGATCTCTATGAATTTGAGGCCAGCCTGGTCTACACAGTGAGACCCTGACAAAAGGGGGGGGGGCAAACAAAGATAAGACAAGACTATAATGCAGAGTCTGGAAACCACAGACTTGGATGGTCAGACAGCCCAAGTCTCCAGTCCACAGGAAAGGAGAAGCTGGTAGACTCTGGTTTAAAACAAATTCTATAAAGCAAGCTAAAGTCAGTTTGCTTGAACTAACAAAGTTCCCACACTAAAAGCCTCTGACCATGATGCTAGGAGGGAGCATTGGAAGGGCTCTGTCTTGGTTTTGAACAATCTCAGAGCATTAAGATAAAATGCAATACAGAGAAATCGAAATCCTAAAGAGTTTACTGGGAGTTACCAGTAGTGTGCTTAGAATAAAACTCAAAACACTGGAGAACAATGTAAAGCTCTCTAACGCCACTAGTAGGCCTGCCAGGACCTGAGTCACCACGCCCAAGTACCGAGAGTCAGGAGCTGCATGCGAGCCATGGTGGCAGGTCCTCAAGCCAGCAGTCAGAGAACTGGAAATGAAATTCTAAAATCTGGACCCCTGATGAACATCAAAGGTTTGTAATATGGCATATGGCATATGTATATTTCTGGGGAAAGGGTTTTGGGGGGACTTTATGGTTTTTTTTTTTGTCCCTGGAAAAGACTTTAAAAAAAAAAAGAGCCTCAATCCAAAAACAAAAACAGAAACCAAAAAAACCTGAGGACAGATCACTGCACTGAAAATGCTAGTGTGGATGTAAACATGACAGAATAATGTTCTCCTCTCCTTCCTGGATGATGATTTGCTGAAAAAGTGCCTTACTAAGAAGAGTATCTGAACCTGGAAAAACAACTGGTTTGCTACTCAAGAGGGAAGACACGCACTGAGAAAGTAACAGCAGACAACGCCACCCTGTGTCACTCCTCCAAGTTACTGCTAAATGCTCAACGATGATGTTCTAAAGACACACAGCTGGACTCAAAAGAAGATTTAACAAGACAAGGTTTTTTTTTGGTCTTTTTGAAGCAGGATCTCCCTGTAGCCCCAGCTGGCCTGGAACTCACTATGTAGACCAGGCTGGTCTTGAACTCACAGAGATCCGCCTGCCTCTGCCTCCCGAGTGCTGGGATTAAAGGCGTGCACCATCACACCTGATTGACAAGTTTTTTCTTAAATCTCTCTGTCACATGTCCTCATGCACACACCTGACTCCACAGCCTTTCCTGGAGCCGCTGGGTTGACTCAGGTTATGCAACTCACTCCAAACTACCTCAAGCTGTTATTCCAACAGCACTTCTTGAATTCCTGGTTAAGAAACTTTCTACAAAATTTCATTATGTATTTTCAACTTAAATGGTCCCTTCTTCTCCTTATTTGTGTCCCTGTTAGTGGTCACATTTTCTTCTGGAAAAAGAACCACAGCAGTTAGTTAGGTGTTGCATGTATGAAATCCCAGAAGGCAGAAGCAGGACTAATACTACAAGTTCAAGGTCACCTTAGTCTACATCAGGAGTCCCAGGCCAGTCAGAGTGACACAAGACTTTGTTTCAAAAAAATACAAAACCCAAAAAGGAAGAGAAAGAACCACAGCTGACTGGCTGCACTAACAGGTTAACGCAGCGCTTCTCCCACAATAGCATGAGACACCTCGAGTTCTTAAGAGGGCTGTTTTTCCACGAAGCCAATCTAACGTTGCAGGAAGTTATTTAGCATGATTTTAAACTACAGAAAACATCAACATTGGTATGAACTTTTAAGACTTAAAAACGTAAGTCCCCGAACCAGCAGCAGAGCCATGAGACTTGGAAACAATTCTGAGATTGTGCTGAGTCACTATATTGGCTTAGTCTCTAGTCTTACAGGACGGGTCTAAGTGGTTCCAGCATGCAGAGGCAGGGGCAGGGGCAGAGGCAGGTAGATTTCTTGTGAGAGCCAGGCAGCCTTGTCTACAGAACAACTTCTAGGCCAGCTGGGGTTGAAGGGATGCCCTATCTCAAAAAGACAAAATCAAGAAACAAAACAAAACCCACTGATATTGAAGTACTGCAAGGACTAAAGAGAAGCAACTTAAAACCAGAAAAAACGTTAACAACCAGTCAACACACCAGAAGGATCCAAAAAGTGACAATTGCATAAATGGAGTGTTTGTGCAACAAGTCCAAGGGCTTTACACAGATCAACTCCTTCCCCGTCCCCTTGACCACTCCTGAAGAGTCGGGGTTGTATCATTCCACCCTACAGCTAAGGAAAAGGAATCAGAAACTAGCCCAGCATGACACAGTGCAGTGCCAAGCAGTGGCAAAGGATCAGAACCCCGGCAGGCCAGCTCCAGAGCCTCCTGTTATTTCATGGAACAGGTCGAGGGTGTTTGCCCCATCATGCCCTTTGAGTTTCCCCAGGGGAAATACACTCCTATCAACCACAGGCACTCACACTGTGAGAATTCTGACAAACAATCCGACTTGGGCTTGCAACATTTTATAGTCATTATAAAAAATAGGCCTTAATATTTTTATCTCAAAAACCAGGAAACAAATTCAGAAAAGTAAAACAACAATTTCCAAATTCCATTTGAATAGTAAGTAAGATGAGCTCACAAAGCCTGGGCTCTTTCCACACACCACGGGGCCTTTGTGTGGATAGACTATCCTTCTACTGCTTTGCCCTGCCTATACCACACTCAGGATCATCTAGATTAGGAACCATCTCTCAAATGTCCTTCCTAATGTGAACCCTCATACACCAACATCACCAATGATAAAGATAAGTCATATTGAAGACCTCTGACCTCTACAGGGGCATACATAACACACACACACACACACACACACACACACACACACACACACAATGCCAAGGTACACAGCTTGTCCAGACTCCAAATCTGTATAGCCTTTTAAAGAGTAACCTGAACCTTATACCTGTTTCTTCTTCTATCTTAAGCATTTCTGAGCCTGGTCCTGTATTTGCACGGTTTTAAGAAAAAGGGATGCTGGTTACATGACAGCAAGCAAAAAAAGGTCTAAATGTTCTCCTAGCCACAGCATGTCACTAGAGCCACCTAGGGGCTGCAGTCAGCTAACAGGAAGACTCAGAGAACAGGCACGGTAACTCATAACTACATCAGCAGAAGGCAATGAGACTGCCTTTGAAATCATTCAGGTATCTGAGGCGCTTTTTTTTGTAATAGAAACACAAAGTAGGACCTCTCAACCTAGCAATTGGGGCTGGAAAACTCCTAGTTATGGGGGTTGTCCTGTATGTTATAGGAAGTTTAGCAATGTCCCTGGATTACGTGCCAGTACCAACTCCTAAATCAGTTTAACCACCAAAAATGTCTCTCAGGCTTGGTGTGATTGGCTTGTGAAAAAAAAATTTTTTTGATTACCTGGTAATTTAATATCTGTATATACCTTGTTCAAGATTTATTAAATTTCTCAGTATAAAGGAATTGCTTAAAAACCAAACCAAACAAACCCTACATAAACAGGGACAGATCATTTAAGAAACAACTAAATCAGCCCAGTTCAGGCTGCCAAACTGCCCAAGAAAAAGGAAAAGAAACAAACAGTTCCCATTCTTTTTTTAAAAAATATTTTATTTATTATATTTTATGTGTATGTGTGTGTTGCCGGTGTGCAGGTAAGTGCACCTGTGTCGTGCAATGCCCACAGAGGACAGAAGAGGCTGCTGGATCCCCTGGAACTGGAGTTACAGATAGTTATTAGCTGCCATGTGGGTGCTGGGATTCAAACCCATGTCTTCTGCAAGAACAACCAGTGTCCTTAACCGATGAGTCATCTCTCCAGTCCCCTCAGTTCCCATTCTTATTTGCCAGGAATCAGGTGCCACAGGACAGGGGTGGATTCCGGAGCACTGCAAAGGGGAGAGTGCGGAGACCCCCACACCCCACCCCACCCCAGGTCAATGGGTACAGCCCTGGCTCTATACTTTCCAGCTACTATGTGAAGGGAATGCAAAGCAAGGCTGGAGGAAACTACCAAGACAGAACAGTGCAATGAGGCCTGACTCAGAGTCCATACCCTTTTAACATAATACTTTCAATTATAACAAATTAAAATATAATACATAATACACTCTGGAAAATTTAAGTACATCATCTTGCAATTTACTAAATTATCAGTATTTTCCTACTAACACATACAGTAGACAGTAGAAACATTGAACAAAAAACGGTTTTGTATTTGATATAGTTCTCATGTTTTAAAATTTCATTATAATCTCACTTTTAAGAAGCTCAGTCAGGTGTAGTGGCACAGGTCTTTAATCCCAGCACTTGGGAAGCAAAGGTAGGCAGATCTATATATTGAGTTCCAGGACAGCTGGGGCTATAGGGAGACCTTGTCTCAAAAATACCAAACAAAACACAACAAAAAAAACCCCCAAAACCTTGGTGATTTTAGTGACTGAAGAGCAACTTCCATTTATGTTAACACTGGACACTGATGAAATCAGGAACATTCAAAACTGTAATGTAGTGATCTTTCTATGAAAATGGAGATGACAAAATAGACTTGAAGCCAGGCATGGTGGTACACGCCTTTAGTCCCAGCACTTGGGAGGCAGAGGCGGATCTCTGTGAGTTCAAGACCAGCCTGGTCTACATAGTGAGTCCCAAGCCAGCCGGGACTACAGGGAGACCCAAAAAGACCAAAGAATTGAATATCTTTTAATTTAATAAGCAAAATCCTTCAGTACTCTTGACAAGAGGTCAAATGGAATGCACATGCAGCTAGGTTCCCCTCTTCCCAAGCTGCTTACCTGGATGACTTTATAGAAGTAGGCATACTGTCGTGCTGTGTTTTTATACTGGCTGAAGATGTCATGGATGGCTTGAGTCGACTGAAGACATCGAACTTCCTCTTCTTCAAAGTACAGAGGAGTGTCGTACTCACTGGGAAGGGTCTGAATGTAGGGCTGCCAGAAAGAGTTGGGGCTGGCTCGCTCACACAGCAGATGAAAGGCCAGTGCAATATTTCCCATGGCTTGAAGAATCCGGTCTTGAGAATATAAGGGCCCTGAATTAATCCAGAAGTTAGCAGTGTAAGTTCCACAGACTTCTTTAAAAAGTAACTCAAGACACACACTAAAATTATCCAACAAACTCATCTTTCCAACAAACTGCATCTTTCTTTGGACATAAAATGGAAAATACTTAATGTGGATTTGAAGGTCTGTCATCAGTTGAGAAAACAACCAAAAATGGTCTTTATTGTCAAAAATGAAATTTTTATATACTTTTTATCATTTGTACTTTGCCTGAAACAAAGAGAAATTATTCTCACCCAATACTGAATTTTTAGCAGATTCAACAGTCATTAGTAACTTTCGTGGAACCCATAAAAATAATTCTTCTGCCTAGAGATAAAAGTAAGAAAAGAGTAGAATCATCAGAGCATGTTACAATCTTCACTCACATCTATGGTCAGAAATCTAATCACTATGAAATACAACTGAAGGCTGCACATCAGCTACTCTAAGCATCACATATATACAAAACCCCATGGTATGTTACAGTTCCATGAGTAGAAACACAGTCCAAAATCCCATTTCCATTAGGAAAACTGGAAACCATATATTCTCTATACTGAGAACACAATCAAAACAGGGCCCTTTGACTTTAACTTGAAGTTAATAAAGCCTTTAGAGAATACGGAGGCCTTTGTTTTACTGCTTGAAATTCATTTTCAGGTTCTAAAAATAAAACAATCCCGGTGTCAATGTGAACGGCTTCTCCTTTTGAGGTCATAAGGCCACAGCAGCATCCTGCCTTTACACATTTGTCTTTCGCAAAGCACATCAGCGAAAGCAGTAGCCCACAAAACATCCTTTAGCACACTAATTATCCCATTTTCTGATAAGATGTTTATGTTCTGTGTTTACCTCTACCACTTAACTCATGTCTACAGATCTCTGTCAAGTAGGGTTGTGTGCAAACTCTAAGGCAGCCCTCAACACAACCAGATGCTTGGCACCTTAATCTTACACTTTCTGGCCTTCAGAGCTGAGAGAAATAAATGTCCCTAAGAAAAGCACAGGTGTGACAGACCACAGCTAGGGACATTCTGGGCAGTACCCACACGAATGAGGCTTCTCACCCAACACCTAAGCATGTGATACCTCGCCTCTGCTGGTGCCTACTATTTGAATGATTTTTCTGTTTCATCTCTTACTACAGATTTTAAGCAGCACATGGGAAGAAACCCTAGGCTTTTCTGTAAATCTAGCATAACAGATAAGGCACCAGTCATACAGTAGATATTTAACAGATATCTAACAGTGTAATGATGAAAGGTTAGCAACAGCTTAGCCAAAAACACTGCTAGAGTTATGAGGAGACCCAAACTAATTACACCCATTTCTTCTACCCAAGGTCTTCAGCAACTGAGAGGCACAGGAACACAACAGACAGTCCCCCAGAATACCACCTGCTGAGTTCCAGAGGCAGACACACTCCCACACCTAGTCACAGGCACACTGGCTCCCCACAGCCCCTTATATGGGTTTGCCCTGTAAGGCATGAGTTGGAGGGCACAAAACAGAACGAAGACCCTAGGATAACCAGCACCCACCGGCCAAACCCAGTTCCTTCTCCGAAACTAGCAAACAGACTCTGCTACCCTCCCCTTTAGGAGAGCAGGACTGAGGGTCGGGGGAACCACCTGAAGAACCCTCTCCCCAAAAGCTGTCTAGCTCCTCTCTCCTCTCCCTGCTGCTTCTGGAGCTGCCATTCCCATGAACGGCACTTTAGCAACTCAGTTATCCAGAAGAACCCCTCCTCCTGCCCCCAATCCATCAAAAGAGCCCATGTGCTGTCCTCCCACCACAAGTCCAGATCTTTTTCCCTAAGTACATCTCAAAATCCTATGAGGCATGGTCTACAGTCTTCTAACAGAAGCTTGGAAATATGATCCAACTTGCTCCAAGGCAGGGTTAATGACATGGTTCCCCAGGAGGATGAGCTCACAACGCTGTCTAGAACTTGCCCAGCTGAGGCTCTTTCTGGCCCATGTGGTCAGGTAAAGGCACTGTCACCCACAAGGAAGGGAAATGTTACTGGCATGTCCACAAAGCTTGAAACCAGCCCCAGGAACAAAGCTCTGTCCCATGCCCCGAGCTCTCTCTCTCAACACTACACAATTGTTCAAATACATGTCAGACCCCTTAGACCAACAGTTGATAAACTCACCTTGATATCTCTTGTTGCTCTCAAACCAAAGCCCTCTTCTTTGAAGTTAACCATTTCAAAGCCCTCGACAGAAGCCCCATTTTCAGAGGCCCATTTCATTAGATCAGGAAAGTAATCTTCTCTCTTCCCATCAAAAGTAACAGACAGACCTATATTAGCCATGTTTAGAAAACAAGAGCTACTTTTAGAACACATATAAAACAAACATAAAAGCAGAGCACAGCTCACACTGGGTCTAGTCTTAACACTCCTATCTCGAAATAATCAAAATTAACCAGGACAGTCATGGTACATACACAAGTTTCAGGAAAGGTAATTAAAATCCCTTACTCTCATCAGTCACAAAGAAATATGTCCTGGTACTGGGTGACAGGAACATTGAACATGAGGTACTACTATTAAGGAATATCAATGGTCAAGAGAGAAAACCTTTGGTCACCATAACTGGGGCTTAGTTACCACCACAGAGGAGCTTTTCCCTCAAAGTTTAACATGCAACCTCTCCTAGTCACAATGGCCTTAAAAACTCCACTAGAACAAAGTCAGCAGCTTGTCCATGTACACTGGAGGTCTGGGTGAGAGAGAGCAGCCCCGAAGCTAAGAGCATAAAATGCAGCTTCCATACAGAACTGCAACAATTTAAACGAGTGTGATCTGTAGGTATCAACACAAATAAAACACAAAATATGACACTGTGTTTTCTTAAAAACTCGAGTCATGTCTGATAGCATTTATGTACATTTTTAAAGGATTAATTACAACCATATATGGCTGTTTGTATTATACTTGCATGAGTTGTCCCTGGAGTAGAAAAGCACTCTTGGTAAAGACAAACACACACCTCTGAAAGAGAGGAGGACTGGAAGGACACAGCAGTGTGGGGCTTCGGCTCTACCTGGTAGATCTCATTTCTTAAAACCAAATACAAAGAAAGGTGGAGGTGGGAGATGAGCAGGTGGGAGAGAAGCAAAGGACCTGAACCAGTACAACTGTGACATGGTGCTCCATCTGGGTCGCACACTCTCAGGTACCAGTTCAATTATTTTTTGGACTTCCCAGCATGTTTGAAACATTCAAAAAGGTAAAAACCACCACATTCCAAGAAAGTGGGGACCAACAGGTATGTTATTAACATGAGGAAATGGGCATGGAATTTAACCTATTTCACCATCCTGTAAAGCTGCCTGGCACACTTCCTACATTATGCCAAATATACAAAGACACTGCTAAGGAGACAAATGTCTCAAGCTGGGGAGAGTGTTAGACGGAATTACCCTCTCTTCATTCAGTCTATGCACTAACTTTGGTGCCAGCCTAAAAGTGCCAGCCTAAATTTCTCATCTACTCAGAAGAGAAATTTGGGATATACAGACTTTTGGCGAACTATTTGGCAGGAGATGATTAACACAATGCATCATTTAGACCAAGTACACAAATTAGAAAGGAACCTGCTCACCACCCGGGAGTCTGAGTCCATCTAAGCTAAAGACTGTAGCTGCATGGGTATGTAAAGAGAACAGAACTATTAAGACGGCAGACAGAAAACAACCTTCTCCAGACTCCGTGGAAGGTTTCTCTCATCTTTTGCCGTCCGCTTTCCTTGCTATGTTTTCTGCTACCTTTCGTGTGGCTGTGCACATCAATCTTTACTTTTTATGCCTTACAGAACAAAGACAATAGTTGTACTGAGTAGGTTTTTTCAAACTGTCAGTCCTTTTGCCAGCTTGGCTGAGAATAATTAAGGTAGTTTCTAAATACACACTGTCCCAGCTTAAGAGGTACTGTGTAGTTCAGTGGTGGAGAGCTTGCCCAACATGCACCCTGGGTTCAGTCCTCAACACCCCCTTACCCAAAAAGAAACCCCACACTGCTCAAGAAACGTAACTATCTCTTAATCAAGATGGGCTGGAAAGGGGTATGGTGACACACGCCTATAATCCCAGCACTCAGAAGGCTGAAGCAAGAGGATTGTCACAAGTGCAAGAGCTACATAACAAGAGCCTGCCTCAAAAACCCCCAAAGATGGGCTGGATTTAATCACAAACCAGATACTGATCAACCAGTCTGTCCATACTGTCCACAAACTGTTATATACAGTTATAAAATGCCAACAAAAGACGGCATGCAAACAAGTTTAAATGTGTGTTTCATAAAGTAAAGGTAACAGCTATGTCCTCTTAGCCCCAGATACAGTCTCTCCTGCGCAGGCTCTTTTCTCTCAGCAGCAGTCTCCTTCCAGTCCGTCTATACGAGCCTTTGGAGAGACAAGCACATGACCGGAGACTCTCAGTAGACGTCTAACCGTGCTGTACTGCTATGTGATGCCATTAAAACAGGAGCACTGTTCCAACAGCTTTACCTTTTTGCTTTTTTCGTATTTTCTCAACCAGAGACCGGATCTGCACATATTCTTCCCACTCTTTCCCTGGGCCAGGTGCAGGACTGCTGCATTCTGTAACATGAAAGTCACTGCATGAAATGCTCCTCTCCAGCTTAACCCACTGCCTGCAGCAGGACAGTTCTGAAACTGTTGTTGGCTCATGTTCACAGAACAGAGCTACTGCTGCCATGATAATGTATGTGTGGCACACAGAGTGGAAGGATAGTTTTCAAAGCATGCAAACCCTCTGAAACCCAAGGATGCCCCTGTGTGCATTCCCCAACTGTTCTAATAACTCCTCAGAATACACTTTAAATGGGTAAAATCTAAAAGTTAAGCTAAAATGTAAAATGTTTCCCTAAATTCTTCAAGATTGCAAAGAGAAGGTAATACTAAAAGCGTGTTTATCTTTCCACTGAGAACAATGGCTCTCTAAGGAAACTAGCTACCTGGACATAAAGTCAATTAGTTGACAAACATTTCACATCCTTGTGTGCACTATGTTAAGCATTCTGAGGGAGTTACAAAAGAGATGGCGTAGTCACTGCTAAAAGAACAGGTACCGTTCTTCTGAAGAACCTGTTCTACAAAACCAACCCCCTCGACCGGGATGCCATCTTGGAAGGCCACACACGAGCAGCCAGCCTGCTGGCAGCACTGCCTTATTAAATATTATACCAGTTTCAAGACAGTCTCCTTCCCATGCTCCTGCCAAACCTATTACCCCTGTGCTAAAGAAAAGAGAACGTGTGGCAAATAATTAACATGACCTGGTTATGTGCTGACTCCCAACTTTTAAGGTTAACCAGTCAGACTTCATTCTTCCCTCACCAAGCACCGAGGCCCTGGAGTACAACAGCAAAAACAGGAGCCAGAGCTGAAAGCTGCCAGCATGTTAAAGAAGAGAGGGGCATAGGTGGAGAATGGTAGGGGTAGCAGAGCCCTGTGGAGGCCACTTGGAAGCACCCAGGGAAGGACCTGACTGTGGCCTGCCTGCTGTCAGCTCTCTGAGGGAGGAAAAGCTATATTTTTATGAGATTTAGCTGTCACATAAACTAAATATAAGGGACAAAGGTCAACACCGTGATCATGGCTAAGTCTAAAACATCTGTGGCACCAGTTTTAACTTACAGTTCAAGAGTTATCAAAATATATTATCTTAAAAAAGCAAGTATAGGGCTGGAGAGATGGTTAAGAGCACTGGCTGTTCCTGCAGAAGACCTGGGTTCAAATTCCAGCACCCACATGCTAGCAACAACCATCTGTAACGCCAGTTCCAGGGAACCCAACTCCCTCTTCTGACCTCTGAGCGTACTGCACAACATGGGTGCACTTACACACAGGCAGGCAATACACTCATACACATAAAATAAAAATAACAAAATATTAAAAAATAAAAAAGCAAGTACAGGCACATAAGATATTTCATCTCAAACCAAGAACTCTTAGATTTCATGTGAAAACCAGAAAAACTCATGTAATCACTGAGACTAAAAGGTGAGCCACTCTACAAGGGCTCTTCCCGTGAGGCATGCTGGACTTGCCTGGGGCTCACCTCTGTAATACATCTTTACATGCTAAATCTCTTGAAGTCCTCATCAAAGGGCTAGAGAAAATGATCTGAGTTTACTGATGGAAACGCCGAGCCTCAGTACTTTACACAAGGCCACACTGCTAAAATCCATGGAGCTTGTTCTTATTCATGGGTCTCTGGAGAGCATCATGATCCATGGCTGGGATACAGAAGCTTCACAACAAGCCCCTGACAAGCACCAAGACCTTGGTCTTTATAGAGGGGCAGAGAATAAGGAAGTTCTGTAACTTCCCAGGGCACATGGCTACTAAGTCAGGAGCAGAACAGAAGCTAGTCTGATGCAGGATGCTGTCTCACAGAGCTCCCTCCACACTCAGGGCTGAACATGCAGGGGAGAGACAGACACTGCCACCTTGTGTGGCAAGGACAGCGAGGGGTACTTACTCTGCAAAAGCTCACTGGTCAGGTTCAAGATTTCCTTCGGTGACACAGTGGCTGTAGCCCCAGTGCCTGATTTCTGAGTTTTCACTCGACTCTTCTTACCCATTTTCTGACTACAAAGAAGAGAGAAAAAAAGAAAAAAAAAGTTAAACCATCAAAGAACAAAATCAAGTAACAAGACGTGGTGCTGCAGTGTCTCTACCTTGCAATGTGAAATCTTACCTCACACGCGCAACATCTTGAGAAAAGGGAAGTGTAAGAAACCCAAAGCCTCTGAAAACAGGAAAAACCCTGCAAAGCAGTCTCCAGAAGAAAAGGGCACTCCTTTCACCTCTAACTGTTTAGCTGTACATCTTAGTTTTACATTTTAAACACCCTGGTATGTTTACTCCATGGTACTGAGGGGACAATGCTGATGTACATGACAGACACACACACAGTATGCTAAGGTCAGATTACCAGAGCCTCTACCACCATACCTCAATCACTTCGCACTAGCAGTATAACATACTGTGTGGTGGTTTGAATGAAAATGTCTCCCACAAGACAAGTATTTGGGCATTTTGTCCCCAGCTGCTGGTACTGTTTGGGAGGCTTTAGGGTGTACGGCTTTGCTGGAGGAAGCACAACGCTGGAGGTGGGCTTTGAGAGTTCTTAAGCCTTGAAAGACTTCCAGTCTTGCGCTGCTTCCTGTGCCTGCTTGAAGATGTGACTGCTCAGCCTTCTGCTCCGCCATGCCTCCTCTGCCGTTATGGACTCCCTGGAGCCAATACTCTTCCTTCTGTAAGTTGCCTTGGTCATGGTGTTTATCCCCAGCAACAGTAAGGTAACTGATACAGAAACTGGTATAGAAAGCGGGCTGTTGTAAAAAGCCTGACCATGTGGGTTTTTGGAGAAATAGGGAGGACTTTGGAAGCTGTGGACTAGAAGAGTGGTTGAAAGCTGTAAGTAGAGGTTAACACAGGCCGTTCTGGTAGGAGCCTGGCAGATAGTGCTGAGAACAGTGTAGTTCCAGAGGGAAATAAGGACTTAAACAGTAACTGGGATATTTTGGCAGAGTCTAGCTGCAGTCTGCCCCATAGCCTAAGATCTTACCTGAGGCTAAGTTGAAAGTAATTGACTAATTTCTTTGGTAGAAGAAATTTCAAGACAGCCCAACACAGAAATGGTGGCATATATATAATTATATATATACACATATAAAATTTTTATTTATTTGAATTTTATGTGTATGCAAGTGCACCTGTGTCCTGCAATGCCCTCGGTGGTGAGAAGAGGGCTTCGGATCCCCTGGAACTGGTTGTTAGCCACCATGTGGGTGCTGGGATTTGAACCCAGGTCCTCTGCAAGAGCAGTCAGTGCTCTTAACAGCTGAGCCATCTCTCTAGCCCTTGGTGGCATGGTTACTAATGGTGAATATTATGGAGATCTACAATAAAAAAGAGCAAGAAAGGGCAGAAAGAAACGCATAATGTCCTGTTTGGAGAGAAAAAGGACATGAGGAAATTGAAAATAAGGCATGTGCTAAAGGAGAGGGTCTCTGTGATAAGAGTAGAGCCTAAGGAGAGGCCTCCTGATTTGCATTTAAAAACTGAAAAAACGTACCCTCAGGGCAAGACCCACCCACATAAGCTTCCTAATAAAAGCAAAAAGCCTAAGGAACTTTTTCCCTAGATAACTGCAACCCACAAAAGCTGCTGTAATGGGATAAAGCAAATAGCACTGTTATTCACGCTGTGCTGGCTTTAGAGGCAGGAAAGATGCAAGAGCTAGGGGTTATGAGTTCTTCCTCGGCAGTTTCAGAGAGCCTCCAAGTCTGGGAGCATGCATCAGGGGCGTCCCTGCATAAAAAAAGGCCCTGATAGGCCATTTCATGAAGCTGTGAAGGTGAAGCCTGGTTGATAGTGGAGAATTCAAGATGCTGGAGATGCTGGAGCTGTGAGACATCTGCTAAGGAGAGCGGCGTACAGGAAATGGTCCCAGCCCAAGAGAGAGATGTATGCTACAAACAGCAAAGCTGAAAGAGCTGAGCCATCTAAGCCCTTTTGGAAGTAAAGTCCCAGAAGTATGAAATGGGGCTATTGGATTTGGTGCTTGGCCTGCTGGTTTTTGGTCTTCTGGTCCAGCTATTTCTTCAGTATGCCTCCATTTCTTCCTTTAGAAATGGGACTGTGTATACAGTTCCATTGTAGATTTGTCTTTTGATTTTACAGAAGCTCAGTTTAGAGACTGCCTTGAGTCTCAGAAGAGACTTTGGACTTTTGAAAAGCATTAAGCCTGGTAAATTCTGAAGGTAAACCAAATGCATTTTGCATTTTATATGGTCATGAGCCTATGAGGGCCAAGGAGTAGAATGAGGAGATTTGAATGAGAACATTCCCCATAGGATCCCAGTATTTGGACATTTTGTCCCCAGTTGCTGATGCTGGTTTAGGAGGTTTTAGGAGGTACAGCCTTGCTGGAGCATATCAGTGGGGGAAGGGGGAGGATAGAAAATTCTTAAGCCTTGCCAGACTTCTAGTCTCGCGCTGCTTCCTGTGTCTACTTGAATATGTGATCACTCGGCTTTCTGCTCTGCCAGGCCTCCCCCACCATTATGGACTCACTCTGGAACCATAAGCCAAATAACTCTTCCTTCAATAAGTCGCTTTGGTCATGGTGTTCCTTCACAGAAACAGAGAAGTAACTGATGGATACTAGAAGTGACAAGTTAGACTTTCCAGACAACACCGAAGACATTAATCTAGTTCCCACATTCTGTTCTGGAAATCAAAAATGCCTTGCCCAGGCTTCACAGGAAGGCCATGGCAGACCCTGGGCTTGCATGAAGTCTCTATCAACTTCCAGTCTGGCACTTCAACCACCATGAGTCTTGTATCATAAAGACACGTGAGAAATGACTACAACATTTCATAAACAAATGAGAGTTAATTCAACAAAGAACATAACCATGGCATTCTGGGTAAAGACCTCTAGAAGCTGACACTTACTGAAAATGTTTCCTAACAAGTCCCACAGGAAGCAGGGATCAGGTGATTGAAAGGCTGGGAACAAGAGTAGCTAGCAGTGAGGTGAGGCAGTGAAGAGACAAGTCCTGTGGGGAGGGTAAGCTACTAGCTGTATGGACAGGGACATGTGCCAGTGAATACAGCACCAACCCTCTGGAGGAAAGCAGCCCAGAAGACAGAGGCACATGTCCAGCCAAGCCACTCCAGAGGTGTCCTCCACAGATGGCATCTTATACCATCTCAAAGGAGAACCAAAGGCCTACTTTGGTCCATCTGGTTATTATAGAAAGAAATACTGGGTGGGGGAGGAATGGGGATATAGTCCAGTGGTGGAGGACATGGCCTCAGTTCAATAGGCAGACCAAAAAAAAGCAAAGAATTGAAATGACTACTTAGCATAGAGAACTGTAGCAGGACAAAAGGTTTAGAATGCATACTCTCCACCGACTTCATTCACTCAATACAGACAAATGAGGGACATGCTAAAATAGGAAAAAAAGCACTCTTTACTAAGATGTCTATCTTCTCCTAATGAAGAAAATAGTATGTCTTGGACCTTGGACCTTGTGAAACAGTGTGAAATACTCTGTGTCAGTTATCCTTGGATAAAAGGACACCAGTAGAAACAGTTACAATTGTTGCAAAACAAGAAGTAATTAGTTACTTTGTGATCAAAAGCAGAAAGACATGGATGAGGGGCAGGAGAAACAACAGCTTAAGTACCTCATCCAGTACTGAAGCTGTCTCAAAAGAAGACAGCTCCCTCTCTATCATTATCCCCACTGGCTAAAAACAAGAGTGCCATGTCTTTCTCTGAAAACCAGGCCTGAAAACCAGTAAGGGTACCTTAGTGGAGAGCCACAGAACTCAGCCTAAAGAAATGAAAGCCACCAAGGAGCCTGGTAATGAAGACTTTAATCACACTTCCAAATATAGCCTGGACTGGCCTGGCAGGCAGAACTGCAGAAGCACACTGCTGGTGCCTACAACTGGCCTGTGGCTTCACCCTATTGTCAATACCTGAAGTCCTGTGTGCTTTCTTAGCAACTCAGGATCAGCACTTTGATGAGGAGCTTCTGGACCCTTCCCTTACCCAATATGAAGGGCACGCTGCTCTGAACCAGGTGGTATGGTGAATGCCAAGGCTGTAAACAGGCTTTACTCCCAAGATCCTCTTCCCTCACCTCTCGTCCTCCCTAGTGCTAGGCCACCTCCGCTGACTGAAGCAGCCACAGCAGCTGCTTGCATTCCTGTGTGCCCTCTGCCAGGCACCGGATGAACATCAGCTCATCATGTGATCATGCCCTTTCTCTGTCCAAAGTCACCCATCAGAAAAGAGGCTTAAGCTAGAATTTGAACTCACACTACTCCCAAACTACCTCTGTTTATATACAAAGTACACGGCATTTCAGGGGTCAAAAGGTTTTAAAAGGTCTTCCAAACCAAGGGAGTAAAATACTGAATGCACCATACCACATCCCGACAAGTGACCACCTAGTTTACACCTGAGAATGACAGTCTATGTATCTCCCTAACCAAGCTCCTCCCTGACTGCTGCTTAAACCTAGCTTCATGCTAGGCACTTTATGGGCCAGCAATAACAGAGGCTCTCAGGGTGAATGGCTTCACCCCACTCTATCTGCTTGGATTCACTTTATGATCTACACTACTCAGCACCATGCATGGGTTTGCTTGTGTTATGGAATGTAGTCTTGTCTAGGTCCTGGTCTTCCCCTGGCAGTGTCCCACATACTTTGAGGCCCTGCCAAACTGTCCCCAGTGGCCTTAGGGGAAATCTTAAGCTCTTCCTTGCAGCCCTCACTCCTATGAAAGTCAGTGAGAAAGATTCAAACAGGTTATTAACAGATGCTAAAGACTTGGTTTACCTTGGAATTTGGTCTCTTTGAAGTCTCTCTGAACTATTTCCCTCCCACGGTGATGTAGACCCAGCCCCAGTTTACATAGGAAGCATCTTCACTTAAGGAAAGGAAGGGGGATAACTATCCCAGTCCCCACAGAGCACATCCTGGAGCTCAGGATTCCAAGTTGGCCTATCTCTTAAAAATGTTCCACCCAAAGGCTAGTTTCCAGAGCTCTTCAGCCTT